GACATCTGATCCCACCTCTGGAATTTCCAGAGGGTCCTTGTTTTTTGCCAGGCACTTCACAGATTTGTATTGCTTATAGATTTTCTTAGATTGATCACTATTCATTATATTTAATTTTTTTCATTCACATGTATATCTCTTTGAACTCAAAATTGAAGACACCACAGAGGCTTATACATCTGTTTCATATTTGAATATTTTACTAAAGACATTAATGGCAAGGTAACAATTAAACTTTATGATAAACACGTAACTTTAATTTTTCTATTATTAACTTCTCTTACTTATGTAGCATTATCACCTGCATATGGAGTTTAAGTCTCCCATTTGATTCAAAGGGCAATAGCATGTGTACCAAGTACAAACAATAACTAAAATGAGGCAAGCTATTGGCAAATAAGTTGATGATACAGGTATAGCCAACATTTTGCAAATTCTGTGTTTGTTACAATGACCTTGTTAACAAATACAGTCTACAGATAAGTCAAGTGTTTACTGATGTTTTCATACAGAAATTGTTAGGCTGTTATTTTCATACTGAAGTGTCTACAGATTTATCCATTCACCCTATTATGACAAGGAGCTCACAGCAGGTGTAACTAGTTGACAGGGGATGCTTATTCCTCCATGATAACTCATCCCACCTCTTTTGAGCTTGAATACTGTTTGTAATCTTGATATTTCATTAAAGGTCTTCAACATTCTAATAGATGGGAATCACTTTATCTTTTCAGTTATGAACATTTCTTAGCAACAAACCCTGTAAGAAGAAGGACGTCTGTTCTACAGCTTGTGGTGGATTATAGAACACATGATATCAACCAAGTTTAAAGGAAGCATGTATAGCCACATTAGAAAGATTTAAGGATTGTGAGAAACCAAATATGACAAATCAGAATAACTTCCATGGGAGTGTGAAAAAAAAGAATAGTAGAGTGTAATCCTCAGGACTTTCTTCAGACTTCCATAAAGTCAGGAAATACTGTTGAACTGACAAAATTAACAAAAATCATGATTGTCAAAAATTCAAGGAAGATGTGCAAGTTAAGACTAAGACGGATTTTAGGAGTTTTGATGACAAAGAATCAACCTTTGGAAATATGGCTTTAAACTTGGATCTCTTTATTGGTAATTGAATTAAACATTTATCTTGATTGTTAATAACCTAACAATTATGATTACTACCATTTAATTTTAACTAATTTTTACATGTAGTTTCTCTCATTGATTTTTTTAAATACATATATTTTCAATTTTCATGAAAGCTAAAGGACAAGGTGCATGTATGACTTTACACCCCCTCCCTCTTTTTGAGTTTTTAGCTCACCTGAGATGAAAGCTCAAATGAGCTTTTCTGATCACATGTCTGTCCGTCCATCTGTAAACTTTTCACATTTTCAACTTCTTCTCAAGAACCACTTGGCCAAATTTAAGCAAAGTACAAAACATTCTTGGGTAAAGGGGATTCTAAATTGTTAAAATGAAGGGCCAATTTCCCTTCCAATGGGAGATCATCAGGAAAATGCAAATAGGGTGGGGTCATTGTAACATCTTTTTTCAAGAAGCAATGAGACAGAAAAGCTGAAACTTATATGGAAGCTTCCTGAGGTAGTGTAGATTCTAAATTATTTAAATCTTGCCACTGGGGGGGGGGGGGGGGCACGATGGGGCCACAATACTTACTTACTTATAGGAAAAATCTTTAGATATCTCCTTCTCAAGAACCACTGTGGCAGAAAAGCTGAAACTTATATAAATGCTGCCTAAGGAATTGTAGATGATGAATTGTTCAGATCATGGCCCCTGGGGGTAAGGTGAGGCCTCAATAGGGAATGGATGTTTTACATTGAAATATATAGGAAAAAAAAATCTTTAAAAATCTTCTTCTCAAGACTACTGGACTAGTATAGATAAAATGTAGTTGAAAGCTTCCTGAGGTAGTGTAGATTGTAAATTGTTCAAAACATGTCCCCCGGGGGTAGGGTGGGGCACAATAGGGGATCAAACTTTTACATTGAAATATATAGGAAAAAAATTTAAATATCTTCTTCTCAAGAAATATTGGACTAGAAAAGATGAAAATTAGGTGCAAGCTTTCTGGGGCACAATATAGGGATTATATTGGGTAAATCTTTAAAACGCTTAATTCTTCTCAAGAACAACAAAGCCATGATGAATCATATTAATGTGGAAGCATCCTCTGGTAGCGTAGATTCATTTTTTTTTAACAAATAATGGCCACTATATATATGATGGGGCCACAAAATACAATCAAAATTTTACATAGAAATACATGTATATTGGGGGAAAACCTGTTGCAGAACAGCAGGGCCAAAGTGACTCAGGTGAGTGTTGTGGCCCATAGGCCTCTTGTTTTGTTGTCAGCCCCTAGCTTTGCTTTGAATCTAATCTCATAAATGCTTTCTCATTCAAAAATTACAAAGTCTAGAGTAAAGATTCATTGAGTTAAAAGTAGGGATGAGTATCGAAATGCAAAAAAAAATTAATCATGACAATATTTTGACTTAATTGTGTTTTATGATATATATTGATGCATATCACTTTTTTTTTTTACTTCTGTTCTACGTGTTCTACTGTAGAATATAAAAAATCATAAAAGTTTTCACTGTAAAATTGTTAGGAATAAATGCATTCTTCAATCATTATGAAATAAGGTTTGTTTATAAGGCCAAATAAAAAAATATGTGTGGTTCCGGTTACCCGACCTTCCCTATTTTATACCCCCGACCCTAATTTTTTTTTTGGCAATTTTCATATTTTTTCCGGAATTTTGATTTCCATCAATGGCTCCAGTTTAAGTTTTAGTTTCAGCAATGACGGCCTCCTTGCAAAACATATTGCAAGTGTTTAATAGTGTTAAATCCAAAGCAAGCTAGCATATAGGTGTCCCCGACCAATATTGACTAGTATATTATCACACCACATCTAAATGCCATTTGCAAAGCAGTGATAGGTATTATTTAGAAAAAAATTAAGAAAATCATTTTGTTAAAAAAAAAATAAATAAAAAAAAATCCCTACCTACCTACCCTAATTTTTTTGGAAGTGTAACCGGAACCACACATATTTTTTTGTTTGGCCTAAATATAATTTATAGAATAATTAATACAAAATTCTATATCTCAAAACAAAAACAAACAAAAAAAAAACCAAAAAAAAGAAATTACATTTTGTAAAGTACAGGGTACTTTACGATGACTTGAATTCTTTTCTAATTTTTAAATTGACAAATAAAAAAAAGAGTTAAGATAATTTATTGCTTTTAACTGGAAACCAACTTCAGTTGAAAGGTATCTCCATACATGTATTATTAACTGGTATAACAATACACCCCTAATTAAAAGACTATGTGTGACGAATAAAGGACATATAGATTTAATGAATTTATAATTGCAATAAAATCATTAGATACTTTTAGATAAAATCTGTTAAAAGCAGACATGTCAGTTAATTTTGTAAATTTAACCGATAAGAGGGATATGCTGAAGACATTAAGTGTATATGTAGACAACATATTTAAACAAGAGTACATGTTTCAAGGAACACATGTGTCACATGCTTTGTAGTTTCATTTCAGGTGTAAACAAATCTATGAGTGCATGGTCAGCTTTTTACTTAATTACTATATATAAAGTATGATAAACTGATAGTTCATGCATTTGCCTGTAAAAAAAAAAAGACATACATGGATTAAGTATACGACTGCAATAGAATCTGACAATCAAAGAAAATATGGTTCCTTAACCCTCAAAGACATGTCAAATAAACATTTAAATTTGAATTTATTAGAAATAACTATTTATCATTTTATTAATTGTTTCCAACAATCCTCCAAAAGATTTCAGTCTGTCTTTACTGCAACCATTGTCAGTCTTCACGATCCATTGTTGAATACTGATCCCGATGCATTTTTATGGTATTTTGAATACATGTATAAGTTTGTGTGGTATCAGAATATTATACAGTTTCAAAGTACTTTTTCATGAGCTAAACATGTTTCCAATAAGCATTCAAAAGAGATTTCAGTCTATCTTTACCATGTGTTTACTGCAAATCTTAGTCTACATGATCCATTGTGAAATACCCATCATGATTTATTTTCATAGTATTTGAATATATTAAAGTTTGTCTGGTAACTGAATATCATAGCCGGTTTCAAAGTACATAATCATGAGATCATGAACATATATTAATGCTAATTATCTAAACCCTGCCTCTCAAAATTCAATATTCATAAGTTTAATTAACTGCCCAAGATATTTTTTGCAAATTAGGTCAAATGTCAAGGTCAAGTGGATTGTAATGCTGATATTTTTTATATTGCCTTATGACAAATAGTATACATGCTAAATAGCATAGACTTACCTCTTAAATGTCAAATATATGTTGTATATCAGCACTATGAACTATTTTAAAGGTCAAGGTCAAAGGTCACAAGGTCGGTACCTCCATGATAATTTACAAAAGCTGTAGTGCCAAGCAATGTATGTGCAAAATATCAAATCCATACCTCTAACAGTTCTTGAGATATAGGGTGTGACAGACAGACGGACAGCTAGACACAGACAGATGCTTGGTAAAGTGATCCCTCAGTGCCGATCTGCAGGCGACACCGAATAGTGAATGAATTCTAGCAATGGACAGGCTTTCTACAGCGCAGTGTATATATGTGAAAACTTCCTACACACAATATTGTCATTAAAAAGCCCCTGCAACCTTTACATCTAATATTCTTGATAATTACTTTCTTCAAATTTTAATCTGCCATAGCAAGAATGATGCAAGTGATGAAAAATATTTGCTAAAAAGGATCAATTAAAATTTCTAATGTTTAAAAAAATGTTTTCTTTACTCTTTATTCATCATAATTTTATGTGAATCTAGTTTTAAATTTTATATTCTGTTTTAATCACCAAATGTAAGATTATCACTATTTAGAAAAAAAATTCTCAATTAAAAAAAAGTTGGGTCTTTTAACTTTTGAGGGGGTGTAAACTTCTTATTTTATTAATCCCCTGTGGGTGAAACTGGAGGGGACTATAGGTTTTCTCCTTCACGGTCTAACTGTCAGTCTGTTCCATTTGGTTTTCCACACTTCTTTGTTTTATTACAGCTATGCTCTGAAAAGTGGGGTTTTCCTTTTAATTTATTTAGTAAGCATGTTCTACATGTTCTACATGTATATGACACATCATGTTCATGTACACATGTACTTAGGGATCAATATTTTTATGATGTTCATTTTTAAATTAATGAATAAACTACTGTTTTAGAGAGTCTTCAAAATATTTGCACACCGTATGTAATTATTTTAATCCCCTACCAGTGACACCGGAGGGGAGTATAGGTTTCCCCCTTATCTGTCCATCAGTCTGTCTGTCAGTCTTCGTCACTTGGTTTTCTGGATTTTTTTTTTCTAAACACTCACAGATACATGTGTATTCAGCTGATTTTAAGTATATGTGAGTGTACCTGGATAAGTTACAGATCAAGTTTGCATTTCATTACACTTTGTTGATTTTTGACAGAATTATAGCCTTTGGGAACCAGATTACTGTGACTTGCCAGTAGGCTTATGCAATACTCTCAAGATGATTGTTATTTTGAAATTTATTTTCATTTACAAATAACAATTAACATATACATATAACAGTAGAATGTATAAGGATAACATTTAAAACAAAAATAGCACATCATAAGTACATGTACATTGTAGGGCAACATACAGTTTATAAAATGATAATGTATAAATATGCAGGAAGGATTTTATGATTGGAAGTGTTTTTTTTTAAAACATGCTTGATTAAATGATCATTTAAATTTAATTTCAATATAGATGCATGCATGATGGTGGGCTGAAGAAGAAAACCAGGACAAATGAAAATTCCTAGTGTTCATCAGAAAAAATGATCGAATCATGCAGCCATTTTGAGTGCTTGAATGCCCAACTGAGAGAGCCAGCCAATGCGGAAAATATTTCTTGGAAGTTACACCAAATCTGCTGTGACAATTGAATTAAAGCTTTAAAAGTACATTTAAAAACATACTGCCTTAAAATTACATTTGTATATGGTGTAATTATTTCAAGGAGATACAACACACCTGGTTTAACAGTAAGGTCCATAGCTAAACATGGATATGGAATTTAGCTCACCTGATCCAAAGGCTCAATTGCAAAGGTTCAATTGCACAATTCTGATAAAAAGAAGTCTTTGGTGTCCAACAATGCATTATTTATATGTTTGAGTGTTTACCTCCATTAACTTTTAACATTTTCTATTTTTTTTTAACATTTGGTCAATGTAAACCACATTTGGTACAATGTATCTCAGCTTAAAAGGAGTTATAAAGCTTATTCAAATAAAGGGCTGCATCCTTTTCCAAGGGGAGATAATGAAGAAATATGAAAAATGGGATAATGTCAAAGACATTTAAAAACTTTCATTTTATGATCTATTTGGTCATATAAGACAAATGTTATCCAAGAGTTTTCTTAATGAGCATAGATTCAAGTTTTTTTCATTGCCCCTAAGGAAAGGGTAGAGCTGCAGAAGGGGTTATATGTTTTGCATAAAAATAGATATAAGTGAAAAACTAGCAGGGTGACATAAATCAAAGTCATATGCAAACATTACAACATCATATGGATTTAATTTTGTTCAAATTATAGACATTGGGGCTAAAAGTAAGGTTTTCATTTTGCATGTATCTATGTGTCAACATTTAAATTTGTTTAATTTATGGGCATTGGGGTTAGAAACGGACTGAAATTAGGGTTTAAATTGTACATGTATAGAAGTGTCAACATTTTTTATAGGAATATGGAGGGGGAAAATCTTTAAAAACAATCTTTTTAAGAACAGTAGACACAAAATGTCTCAGGCAAGCATTTTGGCTTTTGGCATCTTCAGTGTATTAGATTTTCATTCATATAATTTTAAGATCATAAAAGTACACCCTAGCTTTTCTGAAGAAACAAAGTGAGTTTAATTTTTTAAAATAATAAATGATTTTAATGGAAAAAGATGAATTAAGCCTAGTCATAAAGGTCCAGTTTTCATTTTGAAGTCTTTGTGAGGGTTTTTACTTATTTGAGAAGTAATTTGAATTTGTACTTGGTTGTGTGTGGCACATAATTATATCTGTGTAAACCAGTATATTATATGCAAATATTGTTCAGAATTAGTTGACTTATTAATGAAATTAATTGTAAAGATTCAAGTGATCCTTCTGGTCAGGTGTTTTTTTTTATTACAAGTTCTTTTTTATCATTTTTTTTTTAAAGCAAATTTGAAAATATGTAAAGAGATAGGCATTATTTACTATTTATATTTCAAGTCTCAGTGGAAGTAATGTTTGAGGTCCAAAATTGAAATATATCAGTCTGTTTTAATATTTGATCTCCTAGCCTAGCCCGTATTCTTCAATGTGATAAAATATTCTCATTATATAAATGAATTAATAAAGTAATAAAGTAAATTTGTATTCATTTTTATCAAATATCTATGTATATCTTAAAAGATTCTTTGTTTGCATTTGCAATATCCGGTAACATGCCTCAGGCTGGCCCTACCAAATCTAGGGACCAAAAAGTGTCACTCTCCCTGCCACCGTCCTTTACAACTTGGAGTTTATGATGAACTAGTGAATTGTGTATGAAATTACGTATGACTTGGGGTGTGGTGAAGTTTGAGACTGTGATGGCTGGGGCCATGAGAGTTACTTTGTTCAAGGAAAAAATGCTACTGAAAGACACACCCTTGGTTTTTCTACAATACAGAGTACTAAATTTCATGGGTGATATTGAGGATATCAAATCAGTGAGGATAAAGAAATCAGTGACAATGTTAAGCAACCTCAACTCCCCCCCCCCCCACTCCACATTTTGTGTACTTGTATGAGAATCCCCCCCCCCCACTTTTTTTTTTTCAAATTTCCACTTTGATGATACTGATGGAAGGGGTTAAGAAAAATAATATATTATTTAATAAGGTTGGATACAGGTGGTATTGAACCAGGGCTTTGGAGCACACTCCATTAAAGAAATTCTGGAAATATTTAAGGAACCTAAAACCAGTTCTCTTCCTTCTATTGATAGCACATTGCCGAGATCACAAATCCACAAAAGTTCTGTTCACTAAATTCAATTTTCATGCTACAAGAGTTGAAGTGTCTTGATTTTATTCCTTAGTAATAATTCATCATTTATTTATTCAAAATGAAAATAAAAAAAAATAATAATTTAGCACGAGTTTCAGTGCCCCTCCCCCCCCCCCCAAAAAAAAAAAAAAAAAAAAAAAAAAAACTCATAAAGTTCAACGAATGAACGCATTATCTGAAGACTGGGTATAAAATTGTTGTCCTTCCTCTTTGTGTTTTATGTATGCATCAAGATCATATCCCAGTCACTGTGGTATTTAAGAAATTTTATGTAGTACAGTGTATGTAGATAACCACTACATGTACAACGTTGACTGGTGTAATTTCATGTGCACCATGTAGTTAAACCTATAATTACAAGATTGGTGAAATCATAGTGCACTTTTGAACGTCACAGAAATTCTTTTTTTGTGACCATGGCAACACCGTTCACTGAAATAAAAAAAGTGAAACAAAGAATTCTGTGTATCTTAGCGTACTCTACTTGTATATACCAAGTTTTATTTAAATCGGGCAAAATTAACTGTCGGAAGAGATACAAGAAGTCCACACTACCATTGCATAAAATCTTTCTATCATATAAAATCGACAAGTAGAGCTTAAAACTAATTCAATGCATGCTTTATTTTGATAGCATCAGTCACTTCTCTTTAAAGGAAGTACAAGTATTACTTGTCAATTTATTTGTATTTCTGGGAAGTTTTTTTTTTCAGTTTTACTACATTTTAATTTGAAGGGGAAAAAACCCTGCTCGCCCGGGGACGCAAAACACAGCATTTATTTACTGTGGCCTAATGAAATGAGCTTGTTAGTCCGTTGGCCTGTATATTATAGATTTTTGAAAGAGTATCTGAGGGCCCGGAAATACAACATCGTTATTTTGGTATATTATACTTTTATGTAAATTACTGGAATTTGATTCTTTGAGAAACATTTGTTTAAAAAACACTGTTACCCTCTGAATGATGAAACCACGCCTTCTAGATAGAATTTAGTAACAGTCAACATTGCTTGACGACGAGTGATATCAACCCCCCCCCCCCAAGAAAAATACCGCCCAGAATGTATGCGCGAGCGCTTCATCTTTATTTACAGTATTTGTATAAAACACCCAGAATAATATAATAAATACTACATGTAGTAGAGGGTATCATTTGAAAATTTACAATGTTACCCTCAACTATATACATGCAGTATTTATATAATATGATGTCCATGGATACTATAACCAAAGAAGTCACTTTTTTCGTTTATGCGATATAATGAATTACCTTTATAACGGATTAAAATTGTTCGTCCCTGGCTACAAGCATGTTTTACTTTGTAATGCGGAGTACACTGTATCTATTAACAATAGTCACAAGAAGTTCTTCAAAAGCGCGTGTGTCAACACAAACAAGTTATGTGATTTGCTGTTTCATTTTAATAATTTTCCATACATGTTTATTTAGTATCTTTCATAAATGAAATTCAATTCAGTAAACACTGTGCCGTGTCAGCATAATGTGCATAACGTAACTAGAAAACGTAATTAAGATAGGTTGCGGGTTTACTGGGAAAAAATATTCACGAGAAAACATATCCCAAAATTTTAATTGTTCTAATGTTCAGTGCATTTTGAGACATAACGGTATTATCTGTATTATTTATTTAGTTTGCCTATCTAGGTTAATTGAAATATTACTATAAACGCGGTGTAGTTTGTTGTGCATTTTTTTTTTATTATTGTTTTACTGTGGAAATGCGTATTTAGAAAAATAGCGCTTTCTACATTTTTTTTCGAATGGAGATATGATTTTAAAAATCAGATAATTTTTTTATAAGGACTTAAAGGAATTATTCAAGAATATTTAAATGTTAAGACGAGGTAAAATTAAATTAAACCTATTGATATATTAAAAAAATAATATGTCTTCGGTGAAAATTTAAACGGACGAGGAGCAATGCAGTTACATTGTGTATTCCAAAACGGGAGGTCATTACTGCTACATTGCGAAAAATTTCAACTCATTACCGCTACATTTCTTTGAAATTTCGGGTGATCATTACCGCTACATTTTATCTATAAAACTATTGGCGATTACAACTCATTACCGCTACATATTCAAATCTGCCAGCAATGGCACGAAATATGCATGAGTTCTATTCAGGCCGGAAGGAGAGTAACAACACGAATCAGAAAAAAACTGTACGCAAAATATGAAAATGATGAGATTTCCAGACAGCACTAGCACAGACGTCTGAAAGGAACTATTTGACAAGAAAAAAGTCTGTCGAAGCGAACGATATAATTTTAAAGTAGGTTAATGATTGATATATGAACAAAATACGAGCTTGAAGCGGGGGTGCCTGAAATGGAGTTAGGCACCTTGTGGTAAAAATAAGTATGGGTGCCCCGTATACGAAACAAGTGCCTGTGAGCACTAGGCCCACGTCAAGCAAATGGCCTTCATAGATCTATCAATTCTGTGAAGACTGTGTGTTTTATCCACAGGTACTTCGGGACAGGACCCCCCCCCCCCCCCCCGATATTCAACCCTGGGGCTTGTTGGACATTTTTTTTCACAAATTAGATTTATTGCACTTATTCATCATGTGTACCATAGGAAAAAATCGTGAAAACCCCAAAATAATCGTTCCACACAAAAATACCCCACTATACATTATAATGTATAGTGAGGTTTTTTTTTTTGAGGGGGGGTACTGTCCACAAGTACCTGTGCTTTTATCCATGAACAATTTCTCTGTTTTAATATTTTCGAAAACGTTTTATTACGTAGATTTTATATACTAGTAAAAAAGTGAGAAAAAAATCTGCTGAAAGTCCTACATTCACTTCCCTCGTGGTGAGCAGAAAAAAAGTCTTATACATGTGTTTGTTGTTAACTTTTAATCAATATGTTCATGAAAAAGCTGCTGGCTATAACAAACGAGGCAATGTAGCGGTAATAATCTTTTTTATAGCGGTAATGAGTATGTAGTTGTAATGAAAATTTTGAAAATGTAGCGGTAATGATACGCACCCTCCGAAACATATGACTCGATCTACACCCCACCCCATTTGGTCGACTTATTTCAATACAAACCCCTTTTGATAATTTTTTATTTGTAACAACTTTAAAGATTAAAACGTTTTTATTTTATTTTATTATTTACGGATTTGAATTTAATATTCCAACAAATTTGTCTCTATTAAAAAACTATTGAAAACTATTACATGTACATGTATTACAGTAATAAGTAGATACATGTAAAAGGCTTTTTGAATTGAACAGTTTCATATTTTTTCCCGACTAATCAATCATTTAAGACGACAATAGTATTAGAATATGCACGTACTGTAGTCCCACGTGCAAGCCTATTTTCCAAGGCGAAGTCAGCAAGATTTCAGTTCCCCAAGAGCAAGTCTATCTCCCGAGGCGAAGCCGAGGGAAATAGGCTTGCTCGAGGGGAACTTGAATCTTGCTGACTCCTTCAATGATATACTTTAGCTGTTTTATTACACCGATACAAAAGATATTTTCAGAGAATCAGGAAAATGAGTCAATTTACTCTTATTTGGTGAAAATCAGTAGAGGTACAATATATTTTTTTTTTTTTGTATCGGATAAAATTCTGGGAGAAAACTTTTCTAATAATCAAGATATATTGATAACGTATATACTTGATATATCTATATGTTGCGTTAAGTTTTTTTATTTACTTGTTATTAAGCGTTATTTTTCCCGATTTCTCTTAGTTTTTTTTTTTTTTATCGGTAAGTATCTATCGATGTATAATGGGGGCCTATAGCATATAAATTTGCACTTTCTGCTTGTATTTCACAAACACAGAATTTTAAAAGAAACCACTTTGTATGTGTATTGTTGCCACCACCTTTCCTTCTCTTAAATTTTAAAGTACTGTGGGTATATACTGTTCCTAAAAATAAATCAGCGCTCCGTTCATTAAATGCTGGGAGATAAAAAAGTTAATTTTGGCGACTAAAACTGACATTATTTTGTAAACCATATTGGAAAAACACCATTTCATCATGTCTAGAAAAGTAAACTGTTATAGGTGAATTAAAGCGAACAAATGCTTCCAGTCGAAGAAACCCTAAGGGAAAGATAACGAAGTACGGAGCTAGTGCCAAAATGGTCCGTATTATCGGAGGAAAAGTCACTGTGGATGAGTAAATTAGCACAAAATGCACCCTTAATTGGAATATATATAGACGAAGCTTCAGACTTCTTCTGATGATGGCAATTCAAATGCTAAAACTTTTTATATCGACACAAAATCTCACAATGTACCTTTTGTAGATCATTTAGAAAAAA